AATCCCTCCATCAACATAGATAATGGGGGCAGCTAGGTGGCGTAGTGGATAGAGTACCGGCCCTGGATTCAGGAGGACCTGAGTTCAAATCCGGCCTCAGACACATAACACTTACTAGCTGTGTGATCCCGGGCAAGTCATTTAACCCCATTGCCTAGCCATCTAATCTAACATAGATAAGGAACTTATTTATTGTTTATTTGGAAAGTTGTTTGGGGACACTGAAAGATCAACTATCTTGCCCAAAGCCACATAGCTAGAGTATGTCAAAAGCCGGGTATGAAGCCAGGTCTTGATACTAAGGCAAACCCTCTATCCACCAAGCCAACAATGCCTCTCCTCTTTTTAAGCATCCCCAGATAAATTACGTACTTCACTCAGTCCAGTTCTAATCCTGTTCTACCTCAGCTATTTAAGAAGTTTCAGCCTAAGCCAAATTGACTTACAGAGCAAACTATTTATTCTCCCACACCCCAGTCAGGGTTGGATCATGTTCATTTGGGGCAACTAAGATTGCTGACGTATGTGCTATTTTCTAGAAAGAACAGAAACCTCTAGGTTTCCAGTACTATGAATGAAATTGTGACTGTCAACCACTATGTTTATTTGAGGGGGAGAAATTGGGCTTTATTTCCCAGGCTTAATAACTAGCAGGAGTGTAATAAGACCCATTAACTTTGCCCAGCCAGTTATTAGGTGACCTAAATGAAGTCTATAAACAGCTCATTATTTCTTGGAATAATTATTAATTCCTGTATTTGAGCATAAACTCCAGAATCACCAAAAACATCAGTATTGCATTATTACAGAAAAAGTGGACTACTGCTTAATGGGATACAATATTACAGTTAAGGAGTCTCAATGAACATCTATTGTTTGAAACCTGAAAAGATTCAGTGTTTACACAGAAGTCCATTGAAATGGATAATTAGTTTTCATTAGCTGTGAATATGCAACTGCTGAGTATTTCTAACTGTTGTTCATGCCAAGCTCTGTCAGAATACCCGTATGGCATTATATTGAACAGAACACAGATGCCACAGAGTTAAACACTAAAGAAAGAAAGAAATGTACTTTAAGGATCTATCTACACAAAATAATGGGGATTATTCAGAAAATTATCCAGATCCAGTCAATTCACAAAGAAGAAAAGTCTCAGTCAGGAAAAGAGAGCTGCCCTTAAGTTCTGAAAGGGATGTAATGTGGAAGAGTAAGATTAGACTTTTTAGCCTCAGTGGGAAGAACAAGGACCAATGGGTGAAAGTTGTAAAGCAGCTGATTAGGCTTGATATAAAGAAAAACTTTACCAGTGCAAAGAGCTGCCTCTGAAGGCAGTGGGTTTTACCCTACAGGTGGTCCTGCAAATAGAGGTTAGGTGAACACTTATCAAGTATCTGGTAGTGGGAATTCTTTGGAGAGTATGAGTTGGGCCAGATCAGTGGTTCTCAAAGTATGGTCCAGGAGTAGCTAAAGGTTCCCAAGACTTTTCCTTTCAGGGAGTCTACAAGTTCAAAACTATTTTCATAGAACTAAGAAACTGTAATTTCTATTACAGTAAATACAGATAGATATAACACACATCAACAAAAGCTCTTAGGAAAGGATCCTCAATTTTTAAGAGCGTAAAGAGTTTGAGAATCACTGGCCTGGATGATCCCTAAAGGCCCTTCTTCCTCTATGATTTGTGACTCAAAGAATGAATGTTAGAGCTACAAGGGATCTTGAGACCATCCAGTCTCAGCCCTTCATTCTAAATGTACCCTGGCTTGAATAACCCAGGGGCCCAGAGGGTTTAAGCATTTTTTCAGCAGTACAGGGCATCACTGAGTGGCAGGACAAGGACAAGAACTCAGATCTCCTGATTCCCAGTCCCGTGTTCCTTTCAATAAAAAGAAATGCTTTAAAAAAAGCTACTTGGGGAGGGGAAGGCTTGGTTATACAGAACCATTTTGATTTGCAGTCCACATGAATCCAGTTATTAATATAGCATGCTAATTCCTGACAACTTTGCCAGGCTTGGGCCTAGCCTGAGTCTCTACAGGACACTACTCTCCTTCTTTCAGTGAATAAAAATGTCATGAATAGAATTATTAAAGCACAAGGGTCAGAGATAAAACGTAAAGCCTTCTAATGTCCTCATTAAAGGGTACATTTAGATGAGCACTTCCACTCCTTAGACAGACTCTCTTCCCAGAAACATGATTTGTGACTTAATGGGGAAATTTATAGCAGGTAGGTATGACTAAGCAGCAAAAAAGAAAACAAAACTACAAAAATCTCAACACAGTCCTGCCTGGCCAAGATGGTAACTTCCCACCGACTGTTCTCTGAGAATGCCTCAGTATTCTGGGGTTGGTTTCTCTTGTAATTAAAACACTTATGATGGTTTACAGGCAGTATTTTATTCCACCAAATCCCTTCGGGAAAGAACCCACTGTAAAATTACTCCACCTGAGTACAGGGCAAGAAACAATGAGACACTTACATTTCTTTAGGCATATTAAGATTCTTGACTCAACAAAACATTTATTAATATTGGGATATACTTAACAAACTTAGTATGATCTTTAACTGGTCATCCAAGAAATTTAAGTCACAATAACGCTGATACAGATTACTCCTGCAATATGAGAATGTCAACTATGAATTTTTTTTCTTTAAGGAAAAATCTCTAGCTGTTTAAATGAGACTTACTCTTCTTGTTGTCTTTATCCTAAGGCTAAAACATGAAGTAACAACTATCCCCAAATAGATAGGGCAGCCAAAAAAAATAAAATAGGACATATGTTCAAACCCCATCTCCACCATTTAATACCTGGGTGACTTTGGAGAAGTTATTTCTCACCGTTGGGGTTCTGTCTCCTCATCTGTAAAATGAAAAAAGTTGAACTCCAAAGCCTCCAAGTCCTTCCCAGCCTTAAATCTATGATCCTATGGGTGTGGAGCACTGCTACTATTAGATATAGTTAATGTGTTGCTAAGTTTCCCTGAGTTATTTCTTTTTTTTTCTTTTCCTTCTTTGTTATAGGGATCTCTGAGCAGGGGAGGGAAAAGAGATATATATTTGGAAATTAAGGTATTGTAAAAAATTATGTGTGTGTTTTTATATATATACATATATATGTATATTAATCTTGGCTCTGCTACTCATTTACTCAGTGACCTTGGGAAAGTCATTGTACATCCCTGAGACTCTATTTCTTTATCTGTAAAATGATGGGGCTGGATTAGATCTGAGGATCTTAACCTTTTTGTGTGTCAAGGAAGGAAATGCTAAATTTCAGGGAGAGGTTAGTGAGAATCAAGATGTGAATTATTTTCCCTTTCAATTTCACAAACCCCTGAAACCTATCCGGAAATTCCTTGGGGGTTCCTGGACACTAGGATAAGAAACCCTGAACAAGATAGTCTTTGAGATCCCTTCTAGCTCAAATTCTAGGGTACTAAAAGCATAAATGTCCATGACATGCTTACCACAGTATGGCCGAGACAAATCAAGCAAGAATATGTACCTCAAATAAATACTTATTACATCATTAGGTATCACTAAAGGAAGGAATTATTTTTATGGGTGACCATTATAAAACTGACAGAGCAGGAAAAACCTGGTTTGCCTTTCTTTGTACCCAGGCAAAACTATAGAAATATATGGGGGAGGGGACAGAAAGGAGGAGGTATTTCCCATTTAAATGTTTCCTTTGGGAGCTAAATTTAAAAACAAAACAATGGACTTGGCACTGCCAATGTAGTCAAAAGGCCCAAGATGCAAAGGAGAACACTAGGAAAAAGAAAATCCTCTCTGGTCCACCCCTAAAAGTCACTGCTAAGAGGCACTGTTCATCCTCCTGTCCCTCGACCCCAATTCCTGAGCCCTGTACAGCCCAACAGTGTGATGTAGTGGGAAAAGCACTGGGTTTCAGGTCAGTGGACCTGAGTTAGAATCCTGCCTATGCTACTTACTACTTTAGTGTGACCTTGGGCAAGTCAATTCACCTCTTTGATGGGGTTAGGAAAGATCATCCCTAGAGCCCATTCTAGCTCTAAATCCAGGTTCTAGGATCCTAGGTTGGGGTTGGTTGGAGTTAGGGGAAAGAAGAGCCAGTAGACATCTGTGTCTTCCCCTCTGGAATGAAAGATGGATTCAGTCAGAAAACCTGTGTTCCAATCTCTCCTCTTATTCCCTGAGTGACCACGGCTGAGTCAATTTACCTTTACCGACCTCAGTTTCCTCATCTGCCTGGCACCTAATGCCTTAATAAATGCTTGTTGACTGACCTATAAAATGAAGGGGTCGAATCAGATCCAGATTTAAAACTATGATGTAATAATCAGGTAGGAAAAAGGTCTCAGAGGTACCAAAGACCAGAAGAAGACATCTGTATCCTCCCTAGTAGACAAGAGTGCTGGATTTGAAGTCAAAACTCCGGTAGCCCTGCCATTTTCTACCTAGGTAGAAAATGTACTTTGGATCAGTCACCTAACCTTTTCTGGAACTCAGTTTCTCCATCTGTGAAAGGAAGGAATTGGACTAGATGCCCTCCAAGATACCCTCCGGCTTTAAACCTAGGATCCTATGGGTGGGGAGGGGAGGAGACAGGAGAACTGTATTCTTTCTGGTGGAAGGAGTGCTGGATTTGGAGTCAGGGAACCTGAGATTCAAATATTGGCTCTTCCACCGACTCCCTGCGTGACCTTGGGCAAGTCGCTTCCCTTCTCTGGGGCTCTCGGTTCCCTCACCTGTAAAATGTAAAAAGTGAAGGGGCTGGACTCCATGTCCCCCGAGGTCCCTCCCAGCACCTTCTCCCAGAACATGCCCTCAGAGTGGGTTTAAAGGCGGAGCTGCCAAGTTCCCACCTTCCCTTTCTCATTTACAAAGTTTGACTCCCGCCCCCCGGGGGCTGGGGTAGGGGCTCAAACACGCCGGAGAACAGTCTCCGGTCCCCAATCCAAGCAGGGCTTCCCCCTCCTCACCCCGCAGCGCCCCTGCCTCCTTCACTCACCGCCACAAAGCCGGAGGAGGAGGCGATGAACACTCGGATGACCATCGTCTCACTTCATCCGCTGCCCCTTACTCGAGAGGAGACGGGAGGGCGGAGAGGCGAGGGAAGGTGAGAGGAGGAGGAGGACTGGGCAGTCTCGGCTGGACCCCCAGCGACTCTTCGCCTGGTTGGGGGGCGGTGCTCCAACGGGAGGCGCGAGCGCGGGCTTGAGGATGCCGAGCGGAGCGAGTGCTGCAGCCTGACGTCTCTGAGGACTACGGGGATCTGGCTTCCACCAGCGCCAGCCGGGAGATAAAAGCCCAGCTCCAGCCCAGCCGCCAGCCTGGGGAGATATGAAGGAGGGGAGGGGGCGGGGGAGGAGGCGAGCCGCAGGGGCTGGTGGGACTTGTAGTTTGACCTGGTCCCTGAAGGGAGGTGGAGATCCTATCTGCGCCAGGTGGAGTTCAAAGGACAACCAAAGAGAACTGCACTGGAAGGTTCTTCGCTTGGTAGTCTGCTCCTACCTTTTGCAGAGGATGAAACTGAAACGGGAAAAGGGAATATCCCTGAACTCCTTAAACCTCAGTTTCCTCCTCTGTAAAACTGAGTGGGGGAAGAGTTGGTGATGGGAGTGGGGGTGGGGAGCGGTCAATGAGAGGGGAGGTCCATTACAAGGCCTGTATCTAAGGTCTGTTCCAGTTTCAGATCTAAGATCCTCGACAGGACTTACCCAAGGTCACATTCGTAGCAAGTGGAAGGCTTTGAATTTGAACCCTAGTCCTCTAGAATCCAAATTTGACACTCTTAATACTCTTTCCATCTATTCTGACCAGGAAAGTCACCGATGAAAATGAAAGAAAAGAAAAAAGAAAGAAAGAAAGAAAGAAAGAAAGAAAGAAAGAAAGAAAGAAAGAAAGAAAGAAAGAAAGAAAGAACGAACTCCTAATAAGGAATTCTCTCGTGGGTGGACTTGTATATTCTCTAGGACCCCACCTGGAAAACTCATCCCGGAATCCGACAGGCAGATGCTTCCTGGAGGGGAGGTAGGCTGCTGCTACTAGTGTTAAACTGGGTTGTTGTGTGAGTTACTCTGTAACTGGTTGAAGTTTATGAGCTTTTTTTTTCTTCAATGAGCTGAAAGTTGGAAATGCAATCGATTTTTTAAATAGTAAAATTGTGATAGAAGAAAAATTGAGAGCCTCGAAATACAAAGCATTTAAAAAAATAGGAATCACACTCCAGCAGGGTTTTACTTCATTGCACCTAATTTCTATAGTTTAGGCAAATGTGTGGCTTTTTAAAATTGCACATTTTCCAGGATATGTTTCCAAGAGGGAGTTATTGAATGGGTACCCTTTATACACCAATGGCTTCAGCTGTGCAAAATGGCAGTTCATCATGCCTGGCTACCCTGTGAGACTCTTTTCTATGTCCTCCCATAAATCTTTCTCAGGAGGTCCACCCAATGCTATGTGGAGCCATCTTTGAATTCTCTTTATACTGCCTGGAAACCAGTCAAACAAGTGGGATGTACATTTGTTATGCCCATTCCCCAATGTGTCCAATCCATCTTCTTTTGTCATACATGTATGCCATTTCTACTGTTAATGCTTTAGGAATATTCTATGACAAAAAATACAGTACTCTTCCTGTATTGTGGGAATGAACTGTGTTCTACCTGTAGTACTATATTTACTTTCTTATCTCAGCAGAGAAGGTTAGCCCAGTTCTGGTAGAATGTTAATTAGTAACAGAGTCAGACAGAAAGAGACAGAGAGAGGAAGAGAGAGACCTAGAGATAGTCAGAGATGGGGAGACACAGAGACTGAAAGAGGCACCGAAATACAGAGAGAAAATGAGAGAGAGCACAGGCAGTCTGGTGACTTTCCAATGTAAATACTGATAGGTTTATTTTGTTTGTTTATTTTTTTAAGATGATAAAGTGTTGTTATTTATAAGAGAATGCTCTATTTGGTCCCAGAGGGCAGAATATGCAGCAAAGGGTAAAAGTTGCAGAGTTTAATTTAACTTAAACATTAGGGAAATTTTCCTCACAATTAGAGATGTCCTAAAGAGGAATGTGATGCTGTGGAAAGTAGTGAGTTGCCCTTTTCTGGAGGTCTTTTGTCAGAGCCAGGACGACAACTTGGCAGGCATGATACAAAAAGAATTGTTGTTCAGCTATGGGTTGGACTAGTGAGCCTTTGAGGTCCATTCCAACTCAGAGTGATTCTGGGAATACATTTTTTTTAAGAAAATATTGTTTATCTCTGCTGTTATTATAGACTTCTCATGATGCAAGTCTTTTAAACAGTACAGTGATTATAGTCTAGTTCAGCAACAAAAATATTTCCTTGTGGGGAACTTTCTGCTGAATATTGAATGTGTCTTGGTCCCTCAATGTAAAACCATGAAGTTTTTGTGTGTATGGTGTCGTGTGTGTGTATGTGTGTGTGTGTGTGTGTGTGTTTATTTGCAATGATTGATATAACTCTGCTAGCTGATTTTAATTTGGTTACCACAATAACACAAAATAACAGGTACAGGATATGCAGTTTTAAAATATACTGATAACAGACAAGCCTTTAGGAAGAAGAGTTTTGAATCAACTAATTCTAATCTAGAGAGACATCCTTATAGGATTCTAGATCTAGAGCTGGAAGAGACTTCAAAGGCCATCTAGATAACTCCCTCATTATACAGATGAGGAAAATGAGGCCCAGAGAGGTAAAATGTATCCACCAATTAACTGAAGAACTGTTTGAAATATTCTGTCCACTCAACTTTAAGGATTTTATCTTTGGAATTTGCCTTGTTCAATAAGTGATTCTACTATATCAAGCCTGACTGTTGCCAAAGTCTATACTATCCATACTTTCAAGAGATTAAACATGAAATAACTTGAACATTAACCAGACCCTCTGGGATTCCACATGTTCTACATTGTTCTAAAGTGATCATAGTGAATGTGTAACATGGCATTGTTCAGGAAGCAGGTGGCTTATCATATCTCTAGGAGGAATGTGTAAGAGCTTTATTACATTTTATCTTCCAACCATTTTTTTCCCCATACCCAAAGGGGAAGAGCTGGGTTGGTGAGTTTTCTCTGCCATTGGCTCAAGCCCCCACTGACTATGTTCACCACATTTTGAGTTGCCAGTGACCAACACTCCAGTTCTACTTAACCACTTAACAAATAGTGTTAGCTTTTACAAAGAGGTATTAAATTCAAAGATATAGCAGAAATATTGTATTGAAATATTTTCCCCATTACCTTGGTGGGGGGGAAATAACCAACCCTACAGAAGAATTAGTCTTTATTGTTACTTCATAGTATTAGTTTTACCAAATTCAAGTTCAAATCCCCACTGAACCAGCCTCCCGTATTCTTGTTCCTCAATATGTTCCCTACTCTACTGTTTGAAATCCAGTCTTAATTCCTGGACTCTTCAGTCTTCATGTCATAAGCTCTTATGTTGGAAACTCCATTCTCTGCACCTAGAACTGAAAATGATGAAAAGCACCAAAATCCCAAGCTCACTTCTTGGGACCACTTGGCCTCATGGTCACATAGTATCATCTGCTGTGAGTGGTATTCTTTACCCTCAGATGGGAATGCAGAAAAAATCCTCAACTGCCCCGGCAGGCAGTTGACTGCCATTTCAGCTATGCAGCCCATGGAAAAAGGCCACACCAAAGCATGGTAGGCCAATATAGAATGTCCACATATGCACCAGTTCTTCTGTCTTCAAGAAGCAGGTCTCCTATAATGTCATTTTAGGTGGCCTACACAGGCAGCAAACCCTCATTAAAAATGTTAAAGGTGATACATTTGCTATTTGATTTACCACTTCATCATTATCATTGTCAACAAGTATTTATCAAGCGCTTACTATGTGCCAGGCAGTATGCTAAAGCTGGAATAGAAAGGAAGATAAAAACGTGGTTCCTGACCTCAAGGAGCTCACATTCTAATTCTAACGATCTGTTCAAAAAAAAATTGCTCTCCAGTTAAACAGGCTAATATGACAGTTGGGTCTGAGAAAGCTAATGGAGTAGTGAATAACTTCTTCCTAAGCCACTGAGCTATTTCTGTATCTGTGTATTTATCTTTCAGACAAGACAATTAGTGCTCAAGTTCTAATCATAAGTTGCTGGAAGTGACTTACATGAGACTGACAAGACTGCAGATGTTTATTAAAGGATACACAGTCAGAATGAGGTAGCCACATGGTCTATTCCCTCTAGCCCCAAAGTGGCAGCCCCATTTAGCAAGACTGGCTTGCAGCTTCTTGCACTCTGAGGTAGCTGGGAGCATCACTGATATCAATTGTGTATAGCAGCATACAGGACACTGTCCCAGTGCTGAAGTAGCCTTGGCACTCCAACCGCACCCCATCCTATAAAAGAGAAGTTTTTTATACCTCAAAGCAAGGTTGGATGGAAAAATACTGGCAGTGCCCTTGAATTGTCTCCTATAGTGAGACAGCTCATGGGGAGGCAGGGAGCTAGGAGAAACTTGTGACAGGAAAGAGGCAGTTTATCATATCTCTAGGAGGAATATGCAAGAGCTGAGGATGAATACCACATGGCAGCTACCATGGTGATTACAAGCTTAGGCCTTTACAAAACAGTCTATGAATATATATGTATAGGTACTTTATGTGTTTATACATTCATATATATTATATATACACATGTGTTTTCTCCTGTATCTACCATTAAAACATAAATTCCTTAAGAATAAGAACTGTGGGGGCAGCTAGGTGGTGCAGTGGATAGAGCACCGGCCCTGAAGTCAGGAGGACCTGAGTTCAAATCCAGCCTCTGACCAAGCACTTGACACTTACTAGTTGGGTGACCCTAGGCAAGTCACTTAACCCCAATTGCCTAACCAAAAAGAGAGAGAGAGAGAGAGAGAGAGAGAGAGAGAGAGAGAGAGAATGACAGGTAGATGATAGAGAGATAAAGAGAAAGAAAGAGATTTATTTAATATAGTATAAAATTGATGAGAAATGGCCTAGACAGAGCCTTCCATTAGTTTTAATTATTATTGTTGCATTTAGGAGAAGCAGGGAAATCACCCCAAATAAAACAAAACAAAAAAAAAAACCCAAATCCAAACTCATAACAAGAATTTAATCAGACAAAAAAGAAAAAGAAACAAACAAAACCTAGTCATTACCAGACTATATCATAGTCAGGACAGATTCAACCCCATCTCCAACGTCAGGGTACCAAGGTCTGTGTGTGTGTGTTGTTTTTTGTTTTCTTCATTTTCCTAAAGCTATAATGGCTGGAGTGAGGGGAGAGGAGCAGGGAACTGGATGGTTTAGGTGAATGGGAGTAGTGATGGGGGAAGAGAACTTATGGACACTGAAGTGTATGAGTCTTGAGGGAACCTAACAATAGAAATACCTAAACAGAATAGGGGAGGGGGGAGGGCTGTCCTCAAGTAAAAGCTGGAAGAATAATCAATATTATATTTATTACACACCTACTGTGTGCCAGCACTGGATTAGGTGCTAGATGACTACTTGTCGGGAATGGTATGAAGGTGTAGATTCTTATTAAGACAGGGGTTCAGCTAAATCAGAAGTTCTCAAGGTATGGTCTGAGGAGCCCTGGGGTCCCCCACTTCTCAGGGGATCTTCAAGATCGAAACTATTTTCATAATAATATGAAGACATTTTTATTTCTAATACATTAAATATTAATAAGTACAACTAGGGATATGCTGGAACCAGTTTGAATGGCTCCCAAGAGCAAATTGTTAAATTTTCAGTGAGAGTAGTTAGACCTCAAAAATTGACAAATGCTACAAATCAGGGCTTGATGTATTATGTATTGTATTTAGGCTTAAGAAGAATTATGGGAAATATTAATAAGGCAGATTAAATTTAAAAGTGTGTCCTGCATCCTTTTCACCTTTCCACCCCTACCCAACAGCTGGTTGTTAAACATTTACCAGCACACTCCTGGATACAATCATATAGAAAAGCCTTTTGGGGGTGGTCCTCATTAATTTTTAAGATCGAAAAGGTTTTCAGTGTTTACATTACAACAATGTTAACCTAATGTTTAATACTGTAAAAAGTTCGAGAACTGCTGGACTAGATAAGCTCTGAGGTCCCTTCCAATTCTGAGATTCTGTTATTCACTATCAGGTAAGGCTATGAAATGAATCAACTAACAAGCATTTATAGTCTACTCTTATTGAAACAGTCCCTAGTCTCAAGAAGCTTAGAATCTAAGAATCTACCAATAGATCCTTATCTTCTGATGAGGAACCTTCTTTGCAACACCTCCCCCCCCCATACCTAGAATGCTGTCCAATGAAAACTGAAATTCAAAATGATGGCCCTAAGACAGTCAAAGTTTCTGAATAATCAAAGAAAGATTAAACAATGCCTTTTATACTGTATTTGTCTTACTAAACAGGAAAACAGACTAAGCTTTTAGAAAGATTTTCAACAAAAGGGATGAAATTAAAAGGGTTTTTAGATTAACCAGATTATTAAATGAGCAGCATCCTCCCCCCTATTTCTGAGGCATTTCAGTAATCAAAGTTTTGTGCTGTTTTTTATCATCTTCCTGTGGGATCAAATAACAAAAATCAGTTACAGCAAATCAAAAAAGCTAAGGAATAGCTAAAAAGAAAAAAGACCTGTCTACTTCTAGCTTCTACCAGCAACATTGCAAGGTTTTTATCTTAGAAGATTCCCATAACTTTAAATTTCTCTTTCTATCTTTCTTTAAGTGTGGACTTTAAAAATAAATCAGGATTGAATGTCATGCTATGAGATTGCTCCTCTACTTTTGAATTTATTGCTGAAAGAGAATGCTTGTTATCTGTTTTTATAACATTATGCCAAATAAGTTATGGGAATTTCCAAGAGCAAGACGATGCTTTCTAAAGAATAATTTTCAGCTTCTAAAATTATTTCCCTGTTGTATTAAAGGGAGATGAGTATGTCTAGATTACTATTAAATTGCTGAATACTTTTTGATCTTTCATAATAACATTATAAATGAGTTTCAGGGTTTTGTGTTAGGAATTATTTGTCTTTTTGTCCCACAAGAAATAAATTCCAATTTTAAATAAGATGTTTCTTCAACACACCAATACAAGTATAATATATAACAAAAAAAAATGCTAAAGTGTGTTTTTTAAAGCTAATTTCTCTAAATTGAGTGGTTTTGAGGAAAATAAAAAAGGTTTGAGATCAAAATTCTACCTTTTTTCCAAAATAGGTAAGTCTCTCCATGTGTGGTAGACTGGCTAGAGCCCTGTACTTAAATACAAGAAGTCCTAGACAATGATTAGGTAAGTGACCTTGGGCAAAGCACTTACCTTATTTATAAGGAAAGTAATTTCCTCATCTATAAAAATTGGGATGCTAACAGTTCTTACCTCTTAGAGTTGTCTTGAGAATCTAATGAGATAAATTATATAAAACATTTTATAAACCAGAAAGCACTAAATAAATGTGAGCTATTTTTATCTGTAAAATGAGGAGGCTGCACTATAATATCACTAGGTTCTGTTCCAGTACTAACATTCTTTGAGTCAAGGGAGTGGGAGGCATAGTAATCAGCTGTAATATTAGAATATCCCCCATCTCTTATTCATTACCATTTCCCTCAGTTTGTGTGTCTGTTTTTCCTGCCTAATCCACAAGGAGTTTAAATTCAAGGACTAGATGTACCTTAGTTTAAGCAACAACCATTATATAGTCACACTTATCAGATAAAATTGGGATACAGCTTCTTTAGAGGGAAGCATTTTCCTATGTAGTACTCAAGTGTAGGTGTGACCTCATTGGTATAGACCATAGTCCATACATGCCTGGGTGACTCTTGTCTATATCCTTCCTTAAGTTTGACACAAGGGGTCCAGCTGAAGGCCTTCCTTAGTTTCTGCAAAGGTGCCAGTAGAGCACTGTACTGCTCACCCATCATCCCTGATTCTTGTCTTACAGTCAGCCCATTTTCTCTTCCTATTACAGTTTCTTGATGAAATCTTTTACTCCTTTTGCTCTTCAGAGTTCTGATTGTTGGTTATGTGGTATAGAATACTGATGCCCACATTGTAATAAAACCCCCATAACCATGTTATAGACTTTCTGTGTGATGCGAAATATCTCCATTGCTATGAAATATGCCATTACCTACAATAGGACTAAATATATTGTAAACTTCATACTGAACTTTTGGGAGAGTATATAGTAGATATAGGACAGTGGTATAAGGTCAAGATATAAGGATGATGAAGTCTTATCTAGGAGTATGTCTGATGACAGCAGGGAAGTATGCATTTACCTAGTGAAGAGCTGATCTGAGTTAAAAGGGCTTTCGTCTGAAAAGGGAGAGAGAGGGAGAAAACTGCCTAGAAATACTTGTTACACCAGATGGAGTAGAGTGTAACAGGTATACTGTAGAAAGAAAAGTTACACTAGAGTTACTCAATAAATGAAAAGAGAAAAAGAACAATACCCATTACATCAGGTTTCAATGTACCACAGGGCATCTATGGTGTAGAAGGGAGAGAGAGAGAGAGAGAAGAGAGAGAGAGAGAGAGAGAGAGAGAGAGAGAGAGAGAGAGAGAGAGAGAGAGAGAGAGAGAGAGAGAGAGAGAGATGGGATTTGGAGTCAGACCTGGCTTTAAATACTGGCTCTGTTAACTTACTAATTGTGTCACAGTAGGCAAGTCATTTTGTCTCTTAAAACTTCAATTTTCTCATCTGTAAGATGAGAGTAATCCTATCTTCTCAGCCTACCTCCTATGGTTATAGTGAGTATGGAATAACATATATAAAGTGCTTTATAAAGTACCAAGCAATAAATATTCAGTGGTGGTAGTAATAGTATAGTAGAAGTGGTGGTGGTGGTGGTGGTGGTGGTAGTGGTAGTGGTAGTAGTAGTAGTAGTAGTAGTAGTAGTAGTAGTAGTAGTAGTAGTATAGTAGTGGTGGTGGTGGTAGTGATAGTAGTAGTACTAGTAGTACTAGTAGTACTAGTAGTATACCAAGCCACAGAGTATTAAGAATAAGCAGAATGAGCCAGAGATCTTATTTCAGGGAGGTAATTATGAACTCATCACCACTGAGACTTGGTAAGATAGAAGTCATGACCATACCGTAGCAATGGACAATACAACTTAAAAGAAACAGATTATATAAAAGGGTGGTGGGGTGACATTTTATGTAAAGGAAATATTCAATTTTATGTAAAGGAAATGTCTCCAGAGATCTGAAGGAGAAAATCTAGTTGAGAACATTTGGGTAAAGGGAGGGGAAGGAAGGAATAAGCATTTACTAATTTATCCTACTATGTGCCAGGTACCATGTTGAGGGTTTTCTTTTTTCTTTCTAATTTTTTAAAGCTATTATTTCATTTGATCCCCACAACAACCCTGGGAGGTAGGTGCTATTACAATCTACATTTTATAGTTAAGGACACCAAGGCAGATAGAGGTTTAAGTGATTTGCCTAGCATCTCACAGCTAGTGACTGAGGTCAAATTTGAGCCTGACTCCAGGCTCAGTGTTATATTCCCTGAACCATCCATCTATTTCTAAGGATCAAATGAGAGAGAAATAGAAGTGATACTATAACAAAAGTATACTATAGGCTACCAGGCAAGCTAGAAGAAATGGATGAGATTGAGAAAACTGAGGTTCAGAAGGTTGTGTTAAATTAAGCCCAAGGTTACATGGATAGTAAGAGGCAGATCTGGGAACTAAACCTAGGTCTTCTCTGACCTCAGGCTTCACTTAACATTTAACTTCTCCAGCCCTCAGTGTCCTCATCTATAAAATGAGGGTTTTTCACTTAATGACCTCTAAGGTTCATAGGATCATAGAACTGGAGAGGCAAAGGACCTCAGGCGATATTTAGCTCTAAATTCTAAGATCTTAAATTAGATCAAGGGAGATGGAAGACTCCAAAGAACAATTTTTCACAACATGATAGGAAATTATTCTGTTGAGGAAGAAGAGGGGAAAGAGCCTAAAGAATTGATTATTAGAGAATTATTATTATTAGCTATTAGAGCTGCACTGAGAAATCAGACAAGCTCAGATGTTTAAAAGACATATACAAAAGATATAAGTCAAGGCAGGCAACTCAGGACAAATCAAAAAAAAGTAGCCCTGTCTTTCAAGAACAGTGTCAGGAAGGATAAAGCGGAGATTGAGAGGATGCTCATGATAAGTACCAAGAAAAACAAAAAGGGCTTTTAAAGCTACAATGGGGACAAGAAGAAGATCAAGGAAGGGATAAGCCTGGTGCTATGGGTAGATAGGATAATGATAATAGACAATTGAGAGAAGGTTGAAATGCTTAATGCTTATTTTACTTCAGTTTTCTCTATCAAGGAGAATGATCTTCAGACTGGAAAGGAGAGAAAGGAGAGAAAAAAATGGATAATAGGGAATTAAAACCCAAAATTTAGTGAAAAAGATGCTAAGAGAGCACCAAGCAACCCTTCGTAAGTTCAACTTACCAGGCCAGGGCAAGCTACTTCCCAGGGTTCTGAAACAACTTACCCATTTCATTGCCAGACCACTGTTGGTGGGATTTGAGAAATCTAGAGTACTGGCAAGGTGCTACTGTACTAGAGAACAGGAACATAGTGTAATTCTCAAAAGGATTATTTAATGGAGGGTTGGTGACCATTTATAAAAGAAAGAAACAATCACTAAAACCCAGCATTTGTTCATTTGTTTGTTCAGATATAGCTATGACCCAAGTTGGAGCCCATCCCTCCAATTGGAGGGTTCCTCCCAACCATCTCTTCATTTCCCACAGGGCTTTACTCCACTGGACTTTGCCATCTGACCCTTCTCCCTGGCCTATTAGTTTCCTATTATATATCATCTTCTCAATTAGAAAGTAAGCTCTTTAAGTTTAGAAGGAAGCACAGAAAAGCAGAGTAGCTTTGAAAATGATGTGAAGTATTTATTACATAGTTTTTCAAAAAAAAGTAAACACTATGAAATGGAAATTCATGGTTTCATAAATATTTTATGTGGTGCTGTGTACATGGAAATGAGTTGTGGGAGGGGGGGGGGGTTTGTATTTAAGTTCAAAATGAATTTTAAAAAATTTAAAAAGAAAAACACACCAAGTCCAAAAAAAAAGAAAAAGAAAAAGAAAGTAAGCTCTTTGAGGGCAGGGACTATCTTTCTTTGTGCTTGTATTTATATTCCTAGACCTAGCATAGTACCTAGAACATGGCAACATTTAATAAATGTTGATTGACCAGTCCCTTGTTTGTTTCTAATCATTGCCAGCCTCAGTTCCACTGGGCACAAGATCATGGAGTTCCCCTTTGCTTGTGACTTCAGCTGGTGTCCTCAGATAAGGGGCTCATAGGAAATCTTACATAGGAAGAATATGAGGCACTGGATTGTTCTTTTAGCTTAAAGCAGAAAGCCACCTTTCTACAGTTTGTTTGCAAAGGCAAAATCTCCAACATATCCAGTCATTGGGCTAGGGAAAAAAAAAACCAATGGCTCTTCTTCCTACAAAATGTCTTTTTCCTCTGAGTTTTAGCTGAAATAGTTGTTTCTTCTCAGAGAGAAAATTCTTCATTTCACAAACATTTTATTAAGTGTTTACAGTGTGCAAGGCAATTGCATGTTATCAAATCTAATCTCTCTCATAACATAGTATCTCCATATCTAGTTTTTAGGCAAACAATGCTAGTGGATAGAGGGTCTGCCTTGGAGTCAGGAAGTTGTTTAGTCACGTCCAACTCTTTGTGACCCCATTTGAAGTTTTCTTGGCAAAGATACTGCAGTGGTTTGTCATTTCTTTCTCCATCTCAATTTACAGATGAGGAAACTGAGACCAACAGGGTTAAGTGATTTGCCCAGGGTCACACAGCTACTAAGTGTCTAAGTCTGGATTTGAACTCAGGAATATGAGCCTTCCTGACTCCAGGCCAGGAGCTCTATACACTGTGCCACCTAGCTGCCCAGAGTCAGGAAGACCTGCATTCAGTTCTTACCTCTTATAATAGTGGCTGTGTGATCATGGACAAATCATTAACATTTCATCGCTCCCCATTTTACAAAGAAATTCTAGTCTTCATTAGTGGAAGAACTTTCAAAACCAGAAAGTTATCCACATGGAACGAAATCACAGGTCACACCCAGGTGCTAACTGCCTTCAGAATTAATTCTATTTAACTGTATTTTGTGGTCACCATAGACAGCCTCTCTGCCTCAGTCCTCACTCTGATTTAGGATATTCTATGTACTTCCCTGCCTAATTCTTCATAGGAATCTTGTGTTTCTACACCCATTTCAAGGGGAGGATGG